ATAAAAAATATAGTTAACATTTACTGAGGGCTGTGTGCCAAACCTGCTCTGTTTGTGGATTTTATGTAACCCTCACAATGGCCCGTTGAGGTGGCCACTGTGATCCCCGTGTTCTATGTGCAAGTGAGGTTGTTTCGATTCCCCGTAGGCAGTAAGTGGCAGAGGCAGGATTACAACCAAGGTTCTTGACTGGTTTGCTGTACTGCCTTCCGTAGGTAAAGCTTCTTGCCTTCCCTGGAGTAAAACATTTAGTCTCAAAAAACACAGCATAGAAAGCTATTCATTACTAAGCATTTTGGATTGCTCTCCAAAGTGCACATGTATATCCTCCTAGAGAGACATTTGTATTTCATACTTGCATTTCATTGATTCAAGAGTACAGTGTCCTGAGAAGTTAAAAAAACTAATATAAATTCCAGGCTTATACTTGATAACTTAAGATTATTTTCTCTTTCCCTTGAAATTAATAAACAGCCCCACTGCATCTAATTATGACTCATTATTTGTAGAGAAGACTGAAACCTGACTTTTTAAATATTTATCTCTCTTGGGTGTTAGGAGAATTAATGCCGGTTAGCTAGTTAAAGTGTGTTAAGTCCTTCGAGCTCCTCAGAGGAACGCAGCCATGTTATTATAGAAGTAACAAGAAATAGGCCATTCTGATTGCAGTGAATGAGCAAAAACGTGGCCGGGTTGGCTGTAGAATCTGTGTGAGTAATTCCACGACATTTCAACAATTAAAGCTGCTCTTTTTTTTTTAACATTTTTTTATTGAGTTATAATCATTTTACAATGTTGTATCAAATTCCAGTGTAGAGCACAATTTTTCAGTTATACATTAACATACATATATTCATTGTCACATGTTTTTGTGCTGTGAGCTACCACAGAATCTTGTATATATTTCCCTGTGCTATATAGTATAATCTTGTTTATCTATTCTACATAGGCCTGTCAGTATCTACAAATTTTGAACTCCCAGTCTATCCCTTCCCACCCCCTGCCCCTTGGCAACCATAGGTTTGTATTCTATGTCTATGAGTGTTTCTATTTTGTATTTATGTTCTTTTTTTTTTTTAGATTCCACATATGAGTGATCTCATATGGTATTTCTCTTTCTGGCTTACTTCACTTAGAA